TTTAATATTTTAATTTAATATTTTAAATGAACTTTATTCCTTTTACCTGATCACCACGCTTAAGTCCAGCTTCTGCTGCTTTACTGCCCATTTCCACAGTCTCTACAAAAATACCAAAACCCTTGTCGCTTCCCCCAAGGAGGCTGAAAAACAGTGGCGAATCTCTAGAAGGTTTTTGCAGGGTGATTTGTCGCCATTTTGCTTTGGCAGCACAGGCAATATTCAGCAATCTGAGATGTCCTTTCATTTTCTGTAACACAAAAGACACAAAACGGAGCGCAATGTTTCTTTTACCAACAATGGAAAAACAGTTGTGAAAAAAAAAAAGTGCCAGAAGAAAGACTTTTGATGTCATGTACCCAAATCTTACTAAACAAACCTTGTCCTCTTTTGCAGTAATACAAAAACACATAAATGAGTGCCACATATACTATTTTATATGGGCTTTATATCTAAATATATATTTAAGAACAAATATGTCCATCTTAAAAGCCATCTATTAACTGTTAGACTTATAGACTACAATGTGTTAGTCACTGGTAACACACTGGAAAATGAAAATGTGTCATATTATAAAGTATGACAGTCATTCTCTTTTGCTCCTACCGTATCTTCCAAGTTCTTTTCAAATTCTTCCAGAAATCGAGTCATAGCAGGATCTCCTTCAAAGTCATTAAAATGATTGTTCACCCACAGTAAGACCACTCTGGTAACCTGTTAAAAAATTATGTACATATAAAGGTACCTATCATTCTTCTCGTATAAGCTTTAATCTACAAGCAAAGAAAACAAGGACATGGCTGAAGAGCATATGACAGATTACTGCAGCTGTTAACAAACAGAAGCAGAAGACATTTACACTTGAAATCATCTTCTCTTTTATTTGTGAAAACAAGTGAAAAATAAAAAAACGAACATTTTTGCACCTAACTGGCTACATCGCCCGGTATTACTGGTGCACAAGTCAATCTTCAGTTAACTCTTCCTTATGCTGTTTAAAAAATTTATCTTTTTTAAAGCATCCCAATGATCTCCTTAAAGAAAGTTCTAGGAATTATGTTGTGATAATAAAAAGCTTTCTTTTAAGAATTTTTACTTAAATCTTCAGGTTACTTTTGTATGTGCTAGAGTTATTACCATTCATCATGAAGTCAGTCTGACAATTATTTTATCCATCCATGTTATAGAAAAAGGTTAATCTATAGCAGTTTCTTTTCTAAAAACACAACATTTCCTTTTTTATTTGCTGAGATAGTTTTCTTTTACTTTCCTTTTCTTAAAAAACTGCAGTCGCCAAAATGAACAGCATGGAGAAAGGTAAGAAGAGAAGTAGTATCTGCAGCAAAAGACTCCAGACAATTTCCTACGCAAAAAAATACAGCGGTTTGATAGTCTGTTGGGTTTCCTCCAGCTCAAAGCTAGAACACATAAAACCGCTGGCTAAGAATTTTACTGCCATAATTTTCAACAAATCAGACATGGATACAAGTTCCAGACTATAAACATTTTTCATGTGTATGTGCATACAGTTGCACAGAATTCAACCTGGTTCTATTTACAGAAGCATTTTTATCAACTGCACCTTTCTTGAGCAGAGTTTATTTTAAGTACAGAGCTCATAATAAGCTGCTCAAACAAAACACATTCAATACACTGAAAAGCTCTACAGTAGAAAATCATGGAAGACAAGCACAATGCTGTTGTGAAAAGAAAGATGGTATGTCCAAGAGATCATGAACACAATTTCCCTCAATTTCTGGTGAAAAGGATTTCAGAGACTGGCATTCACATCTTTAAATTAGATGGAAAACAGTATTTACCACTCTTCAGAAGAGAAGCAGTGTCATACCTATCTTACAATAGTACACTACACACATACAGCACACTAGAGAATCCTTTCTTGATACTAATGAAAATTGTTTTGCTTTAAAAGACTTCATATAACATAGTTGGAGCATAATCCTAGTTTATCAGCAATACAAAAAGGAATTAAATTGGAGACCAATTTTCACCAGAAATACTAATCTCTTAAGACTCAAACCAACCTTATCTCTGAGGCTGTCCACTGTGAACCATTCCAAGAGTTTATTTCCAACTTCCAGGGGGCTTGTTAGAAATGTTCTGTATGTTAAAAGGAAATCTTCGATGTAGGTTGGATCCACAATAGAATGTTCTTCTATTAAGTGCATGATGAGTCGCTCAGGTGTTGCCTTAAAAAATTTAATGCAAAAAATAACTGATCTCTCTTATCACTACCTCTCCCTAGAGTATCTTAACATAAAACCACGTGAACAGTATACTCCCTTTTGAAATTTCAGTTATGGCAAACCCAGGAGAAAACACACTAATGTGTTTAAATCAAATCTTCATGCTTCTCAGCCCAAATGTTTTGCATAGGTAATACCTGGCTAAAACAATTAGTAACTTCCCTTAATTTTATTTTTAATAAACAGTTTAAGTTCCTCTTCCAGATTACAAAAAACAGGTTAATATATTAAGATGCACAAGGGGTGCTCCCAATACAAAACTGAATATATGAGCTGAACAGGTCTAACTTCATTAAAAGAGAGATGGAAGTAAATTTGTAAAATAATATCAATTCCTTCCAATCCATTTTCTTGAGCTGAGACAGACAAATCTGAGTATTTATTCTAGATTCAAACCAGAATTGTATATATTTACTAATAAAGGCTTAATAAGATTAATGGAAAGCACAGAAAGAAACTCACCTTGATAACTATGTGTCCTTTCCTGGTTCCACTGCGATCCAGCTCCCTGTGCTCCTTTACCATAACAATTTCTCCTTCTTCTTCCACTTTATGAGTGTTTTTTTCCACATGATTCAGAATCCTCCAGTAATCTTGCTGTGCTATACAGACGAACTGTCCCCAAACAACATGGGATTGTTAATAAATATCAAAACATGAACGTATCTCCCCATCTCTGGGCTGCTTCGACACAATCACAATAGCACTGCGTTTGACACAAAACCCACTCTGTTCTGCCCAACTACATGAGAAAGCTAGAAGTAGAAGACAAATAGAACTGGTCACCTTCTTAAATCTCCAAAATATTGTCCAAATGGGCTAAACATATAAAGGACAAAGCCTGAAGAAGAGGAAAAGGATATTTTCTATTTATCTGTTCTTACTGCGTGTCTACCACATACACAGCATGACTGGGGTGGACTAAGCTTACATTTCAGCACAAAGCAGAAGTTCCCGTTTCTCACATAACAGTAGTAGAGATTTATCTCACACTGAAGAGAGTACAACTGACTCAACATCAGCAGAGCCCTTGACCCATAAAATACCAACATCCTTTTTTCTGCTCCTGGAATAAAGATCATGCCTTAAGATGAAAGTAGTCTGTTTTCTTTTATTACATGCTTAAAAATATGAGGTAGTTGTATAGAACTGTAATCTTACCTGACAATCATCTACTTTGGTTCTGACCACTCCATTCATGTACTGTTTGTCCAGAGAAGGAGTAATCCCAAAACTATTTCCCATACACAGACTCTCACTCTTCCCATCAGGATAGCTGATTTCCACTGTGCCATTTAAAATAACATACCAAGAATCGAGCTAGAGGAAGTAAAAAACAAATGTACAAAGTGAAGCTAATTCAACAATTTTTATAAGCTGTTCCAATGCTCTTATCTCAGAAAGGCTTATTCTTGCAGTCTCCAGTTTGTTGTCATCACAGTCTTGCAGCATTTAATTCACTAAAAATGTGCACTGTAAGGCAAGCAACAAAGACGACTGAAACAAGAATGCTTTTCAGCATTCTTCATTCATTTCAGAATTAATTCAGTCGGGAGGAATGCTGATGAATAGGTTGCTTTTTTAATCAGTGGCCTAATTGCGACAATATATTTATACCATTTAGTGAGAATGAACACTCTTCCCCTTGGTACCCATTTGGTCACTACCAGAGGCAAGAGTCTATCTAGTCCTCTTGGAGGGATGACCTACGATGTCCATTCCAGATGTCTTGATCCAGGGACAGAGAGAGATTTCAAGACAGTGATTCAGAGCACCTCCACTGGAAGCCTGACCACTAATTTGAACATCTGTCTCCTCCCACTGAATACGTATGGAAACTGCTCCCAATTTAGCCATTTATGTTATAATACCTACATTGCTGGGCAAGGATACCTCTCCATGGTAGTATTTAAAAAGAGTACATTATAACAACAGAGTTATTTTACCAATGGAAATTATGCATTCTTCTATGCCACAAATAATCTTTCAAGTAAAACTCCTCAAGATGTTAGCACTTACCTGATAACAACATACCAAATGTCATTTTATGTCTGTACTTGGCCACGCTGAAGTCTTGAACAAGACAGTAATACATAGGCAGAATCTCCCAAAGGGACAGTTTAAAGTTTGGGGATTTTGGATACATGTCATGATGAGAGAAGACTTTTCTAACTCTCAGGTGCAGGAGAGATGTGGGGATGGGAAACTAGATTTTCCAGCCCTTCACCCCCAGACGCTCTTGCTAATCTACTGCCTATAGTGCCCAACTTATGTTGTAAGCAGTGACTTACTTCTTGGCCGTCTTCAAGTATGATGGCTCCTGCTTGCTCTACTACTTCAAATATCATCACTGAGCAAAGTTCTCTTCTCACAGACATAGTCATGTTTGCAAAGGCAGGGAGCTGATGCATAAATTCCAATAATTGCTCTGTTAGACAAAGGAAACATCTGTATGAAGACCGGAAGGCCCAGGGGCTCCTTAGCTACCTTACCCTCCACAGGTATATTAAACCTCAGTTAAATTCACAGAAAAATCGCTCAGTGGTGTTACAATCCCCATCAGTGTCTGTGGCTAAATGAGCCCAGTATGCATTTTGTCATCAACAACCAGAACTCAGCTCTGTAGCCTTGAGCATGTTCTGATTGACTCTTACGGCAGCAGTCTAGCTAGAGCGTAAAAGCACTTCAGCTTGAAACATTTAGAAAAATTAAAAATACCCTTATGGTACAGTAATTATAATCTTGATAGGAGCATGAAATGATTTTCCAGTGTTTAGAGAAGTAATCTGAAGTATAGCATAACGTAAATTTTACTATTAAAACTAATGCCAGCTTCTAGTTAAACACTACAGTAAATTATGTTCATCTTAAATGTTTTGCAGTTTACAATTAAGTATATCTATACTGCAGGAATAGTATGTTCTCTTTGACATTCAGTAACTAATTCAACAGTTTCAGGCAGTCAAAATTACCTTGCTACCTATCCCTCCCTTATATCAACACATACAATGACTGTAACACTTAATATCTTAAGCATCTCAAAGACTGTTTTTTAAAATACGTAGTTTCTCAGAACAAATACTCTCTCAGATATTAAGAGGAGAAATCATACCATTAACAGTATCACTAGAGCAAAGTGATCTCTGAAAGGCATCACTCATAATTACGAGGATATACATTTAACATTAACCCATTAAACAATTTTCAGATATGTTTCTCTTGTGGATGTTATATGATATAGTTTTACATAAAGTTTTGTTTTTCCTCCTCACCAATATCATCATCAGTTTTGTCTGCAGGCTCTTTCTCAAGGCACTCTCGTACAACATCTCGCCCTAGAAGCGGATCTGAAGTTCTGTCAATATCTTCATCCTCTTCCTCTTCTTCATCTTCAGAGTCTACAGGTGCTTCTGGAAGACCTGTTAAATCAACGTCTCCCATCTCACTTTCTGTAGCCTACAGAGAAAACATCCGTCAGACAAAGAGTTCAATGTCTTCAGTTGAATGATTTATGGTCTTAGGAAGCTGATACAACAAAAGAAATTCTGCGACCAACAATTCAAACTAGAAATTGTAATAGCTCCCTTTCTGAACACTGAGAAAAACACATCACACCAAAATCTACAGCTACAGGATGGTACAAACACATACCATTGGCATAAAGCAACACCATGCTACAGACATTATGATCACAAGTTCTGAAAACAAAATTAACATACTGGGACATTTGTTCTCTGTCTTTACTTAAAAGCCTCCCCACGTCCAGTGAACTACAGACAATATACACCCAACAACATTAACTGTGTGACACAGGAAAAAAAAAAAAAGGCAGACTGAATGGCTAAAATGAAAGGGATTTGATCTCACTTTTCATTTTGGTATTACAACATGGATTTGAATCCTGGCATAGAGCAAGTATGTCAGGTGGCATATATAAATTTGGGGCATAAGGGAGGGAGGAGGAGATAAGGATGACTATTCTTTCCTCTATTCTCATTTTATAGCATTTACTCTTTCCTGCGAATTCATGTAAACAAAATGTTTTTTCACAATTCCAGAGTCTGTATTATTAATGAAATAATAATACAATTCAGTAATACCATTGGTTACCCAATGCCTGTAGACACATTTCTACTGTCATCAATAGATGGCAACATAGACATCACACTGAGCAGGCACACCAAGCACCAGTGAAAGAGAATGCAATACTGGCAACAAAAAGCAGAATCACATAGGAATCATTTGCAATAATTCCTTATGTAAATTTTAAACGATGTAATTGCATAAAAATAACTTTCCAAACAGACGGAAGGCCAAAAAAAAAAAAAATAGTAGTTTCAAATTTTCAGTTTCCACAAGTAGTTGCTCAATCACTCTTGTTTAGTTTAAGCCAGCAAGTAAATCATTTTTCTGTTTAAATTCAAAAATTTGAACAAGATGTGTCACTGAGAAGTATAAGGCAATTAAATAGAGACTTGCATAAAATGGAGTTTATTCTTTCAAATGAACACATTTACAATATCCACTTTCACTTTAAAAGAAATCCTTGAGATTTTACAAAAACACTGAATGAACTAATGCATCAAGCGCTCTGTATGTTCGCAAAACTTCCAAAATAAAAGATGGGGTCCTGTCCAACCTGGCCTTGAACACTTCCAGGGATGGGGCAGCCCCAGCTTCTCTGGGCAACCTCTGCCACTGCCTCACCACCCTCACCACAGAAAACACTGTCTTCCTTATACCCAAGCTAAATCCATCCTTTTTCAGTTTAAAACCGTTGCCCCTTGTCCTGTCACTACAGGCCCTGGTAAAAAGTCTTTCTTACAAGCCCCCTTTCAGTACTGAAAGGCTGCAATAAGGTCTCCCCAGAGCCCTATTCCCCTTTCTCCAGTCACTGGGGACTTCACCTTACTGCCAGGACTTTTCAAGTAAGATGAAGCGTGCCTTAGCAGCCACATCAGCCAGCTCCTTTAGGACCCTGGGATGCATCTCCTTTGGTCCTGTGGACTTGTGTATATTCAGGTTTCTCAAGTGGTCTCAAACCTCATCTTCTCTTACCATGGGAAGGACTTTGTTCCCCCAGCCCCTGCCTTGAGGTTCAGGAGCCTGCGAGATGTGGGAAGAGTAACTACCAGTGAAAACTGAGGCAAAAAAATTGCTTTCTCCAAGCCACCAGTTCTCCTGTCTTATTTATGGTGGGGAGGGGAGTACATTTTCTTTAATCTTCTTTTTCTGACCAAGGTACCTGTAGAAGCCCTTCCTGTTATTCTTCACATCCCTTGCCAAATCCAGCTCCAACTGTGCCTTACCTTTCCTGATCCCAACCCTACCCGTCGGGCAGCGTCCCTATGTTCCTCCCAGGATACACACCCCTGGTTCCACTGCATGCATCTCCTTCCTGTGCTTTAGTTTGACCAGGAGGTCCTTACTCAGCCATGCTGGTCTCCTGCCTCCCTGGCCTCATAAAAAACAACACTGATTTTAAGTGATTTAATCACAGCAGACTGCGCTGCCTCCATCTTCCTACACGCTCCATGTTGATCAGCTAATGCAAGCCCCAGCACTTTGACAGCTGAGCAGCATTTCCTTCTTTTGTGAGACAGAAAAATACTGGGGTTTAGATATAACCTCGGACCTTTGAGCTTGCCCTCATTTTAGCAGTTAGCCAGCAAACCTAGTAAATCAGGCGTGCATGATTTAATGTAAGTATTTCTCTCAGAGTAGGATAACAATACATACAGGGTTAAATCTGTTTTATATTACATCACTTTACTGGCTTATGTAGCTCACATTAACAGTTTTGGAATTAAGCCCAAGTGCAAATTGTGCTTGGAGAGTCTTGGCAGCACATGATCAGCACAGCATTTTATTCAAGGACTTTTCTAGCATTTCTTCATCTAAACAGCCACAATTTATATCAACTTTTCCAGGCAAAGTAAGACAGACTACAGTACTAATTCCCACTTTGATAACTTCAAGCTAAGATAACAAAACTGAGGCTATAGGTTCTACAGAAAAGTGATTCTTTAAAATTCTCATTTTATATCCTATATAGGACAATAAACATCTTCCCTTTTCTTGATAAATAAGTTATAATTTGATCAAGCTATGAAATAAGAGATGGTCCTCAAATTGTTTTTCAAAGATTATGTGCAGATGGGTTGACAAAAAAGTTGGCAGGTCAGGCAGTGCTGGAAAGAACAAGAAGGATTTTGCTCATAAAGCTGTCTGCAGAAGTAGCTGCTCTTCCCAAGCATGATGCCTCAGCTGTTTCCATTATCAAATATCAAAATCATTCTTAACGGAAACATTTATGAACTACTAATTTACAAAATGAAACCAGAAGCTGCGATACTCAAATCTTTACACAAATACGGATTTCCAGGATTGGGTTTTTAGGGCAAGAGTATCTATTGAGCCGGCAGCAGGACCAGACTTAGATGGTGTGGGTCACATCGGTCATCTGGAAGGTTAACACCAGATTACTGTCAAAATATTTATTTGCTATTTAAAATCACACTATTGTTACTCTATATATAGCACTGCAAATTTTGCCAATTGACATGTTTCAGCTATGTTTGCCAAATGCTGATCACTGAGATGTCCTGTACGCTGGCCTATGCTTTGGAAGCCAAAGACGTAAGAACTGGCCCTTGCAAAGTTTTGGTGATAGTGATATGTATTCCACCACAATGTGTCAGAAACATACACTGACAGGAAAATAAAAAAGGTATTAAATATGCCTCACGTAAAGGATTTCCTGTGCCATAATACCTCCATACGATAATGTATTTTAGTGCTCATAACTCCTGATGCAACCAGCTATTAAGAGCAAGGGTTTTTTCCCCTTCCCTCATGTCAATTCTGTCAGAGGAAAACCATCCAAGCTTTTTTTCAGAATCGATAGCAAAATCCCCAGTAAGGTCCACTCCTTGATGCATATTTTATAGATAATCCATTTTAATATCAAAACCTTAACCACAATTGGAATTATTGCTGGGCAATGACGTTGCCACCCACAAATAGCATATACTGCCAAAGCGATAAATGAAAAATTTGAAAAAAAAGAGAAAGAGAGAGAAACTTGAAGCACACCACTGACAGAACTAAACAGATAAGAAAAAATAGATGCAAATTGGCTGGTCATTAAGAGACCAGTATTGCAAGCTATTGGTACAGGCAAATAATTAATTGTGGTAGAAGTGAGACCCTACCCATCTACATCTCAAGATATGATCTGGATTATTTAAGTTACCCTGGCTAGTTGGCTTAGAGCCTGTCCTGTGAAAAGGCAAAGAAAGATGTTTTCACTCTGTAATATCTGTTGAATTATTTTTCCCTGAGGATAACTATTACAGGTCAAAGAAGCTGTATAATCCCTCAACTTCTGTATGCATAACCACACAGCTTCCCCTACTTCGGTCTAAACACCATAGTCCTGAAACTAAGCATAGTGTCAAAAATGCGTTGAAATAAATAAATAAATAAATAAATATTTAACGAATCCCCTTCAAGCAAATTAAAGAAATTGATTTAAAATTGTAGGGAATAACTTTTTTTCCTATATTAAAAAAAAAAAAAAGTCTACAGTCAGACAAAAAACCACTCTGCAGCATTCCAAGCAAGTTGGACTCAGCAATATATATATTTGGACATTTTACCACAAAAATACTGAAAGCTCCAACAGGGAGCAGTAACAGTACAGGAGAAGGGAGAAAAATATCTTCATAAACTTATTTTCCTAAGTTTCTGCAACTAACTGAGGGTTTAATACAATGTGTTCATAGCAGCGCTCCTTTTCTGCTGATCTCACCTGAAGTTTTATGTTCATCATTTCCTGTTTAACATCCTGGACTGAGGCAGCTGGAACAAGTGAAATCTCATTTCATTTCAACACTATTGATAAATATAGTGTACAGAGACGAACGGAAACCCTTTCCAAATCTTAATAAAAAATTGTTTCATTCTTTGGTTCTACCATTCATATTTTCCTATTCTGGAATTACGTTTGCACTACTTACTATAAAAATTAATGTTAAGATACCATTAATTCAAAAGGTCATTTCAAGGCTACATTAATCAAAAATATTCAAAAATGCTCTGCTCTCCTGACATTAATGATAATCCTAGAGAGTTTGGCATGCAATAGATATGAAGCTGACTGCAAAAGCAAAGCATCATTTTGCACATATCTTATGACAAGCTGTATTTTAATGTACCAAAAATGCTTCCAGCTACTGAGCCAATACATTATAGCCAAAATGTAGGTTTACTGCGTATCAAAGAGACTCTCTGCCTTCATAATATCATGATGAATATTAGGGGAAACACTTCTCTCTTTCTTTCTGATTTCAGAATCTGTCCATATTGATGTGTCACTGCACTATAATGCTATGTTAAATACTGTGCCGTGACATTATCACACAGTATCTGTCCATGCACTTACAACTGCGTGACAAACAGTAAGAGACTCTTCCAAAACTAACTGTTATAGTTACTGCAATGAAGTCCATAAAAAACCCAGTATCTTTTAACAGGTTACTATTTGCACGTTATGCATATGAGAACAAGATATGAAAAATTCACTAAAAATAAAAAGAAAGGGGGAAAAACAAACAAACCAAACCAGTGGGTTCTTGGGGTTTTTTCCCCACCTTATGACATGCCTGTTGCACATCTCTTCATCCACAGTTTATCAAATCCTTGATTCTCCAATGCTATCTTTCAGAATTAATGACACTGTAGTTATGATCATATATTGCTGTCATACTATCTTTGAAGACCTCACATGTGTCCAATAGTGGTAACCTGTCTCAGACATCACTCCGGCTGGTCGAAAATGCTCAGCAAAATTTACAGATGTCCATGTCCCCTTCAGGGTGCAAAACCAGACGGGTTAACGTCACTGAAAAGGAGATTCCTACCTCAAAGGTACTCACTCCTCAAAATTAATAGAAAATCTGCAGTGATTTTCACATTAATAAATTACTAACTCCTTAGGGTACAAAAATACATTTCACCACTGTTATTTTGCTACAGTGCATATAAATATGCTACTCCATTTCTTTTATTTATATAATTCTTATTTGTTTAGCAGTTATGCTCTTTCAGCATTTTCTGAAGAGTAGACATAAGGCATTTCAAATGCAATTAACCACACATCATAGAGTATTCACTTATTACTAGAATGATATTTTCGTTATCAATAATGTATTTTAAGTGCTTTTCACTTAGAGCAACCTCTCCAAGCTACTCAGGTAGACAGGCAGGCAGATGATGGCCAGGAAAACTGTCCAACAGCATCCTAATAAACGAGATGTTAAGGTACAATACGCAGACTAGTTCTGGTGACTCTGACTAATTAAATCAATTCTGTTGACTCAGAAAATTAATCAAGATACAGAACAACTTCTTCCAGGACTGCATCTCAGAAATCAGAGAATTCACAAGGCATTTTGAAAAGATTCTCTCAGGGATGCAAGCTACTCCCGAAGCAGCCGGCAGCAAGCAAGTCTAAAGAAGTAGTAAGGTAATAGATTAAATAGGACAAAAATGCATAGAGACAATTAATGTTCTGAAAAGATTTTTGCTTTTAATGCCTTATTTTTAAAGTTACCTAGCAATACTTCACTGTAAATACATGTATCACTAATCTGTTTCCAGACCAGTGGTTAGTCCAGACAGAAATAGTACCCAGACGGTACCCAAGGAAAGGGAACAGGTGTCTAAAATCAAGTTACACCCACATCGTGCTCAACAGTTGCTCTACACTCAGTATTGTACTCAGATTTCAACTTGAAAGTGGAAAAGCTGTGAAATTACTGATCAAGACAAACCCAAGATGAACATCCTCATCAACCAGAACAAAAAAACCCCGTGAAACTACCCCTTCAAATTGACATGAGACAGGTAACTTATTAAGTATATTATCTGTAAATAAATGAAAGCTATCTCTAGATTTCAGACAACTTCTATTCTCAGTAAGCAACACTAGAATTTCCACAGTCAATTAGTGGAGAGAGTGCGTTTATTACGATGCTTTTGTTTGCAGAACAGAACATCTGCTATTAACAATAAAAACAAATAATCAGGGAAGGTATTTGAAACACAAGAGTGATTTCATGAAATTTGTTCTGTTTCAGAAAGAAGGAGAAGGATTCCATAAATCATCAAATGTGACTTAAAAGCCAGGGCATACTTGTTGGTATATAAAGATGTGAAAAGCAACAAAAAGAGCTCTACAAGAAGTTTGTTTCACTTCCATGTGGCTGTGGAGGTGGGAAGTCACACGAGCAACACAGGGACATGCAGAAGCGTCAAGAGGGCAAGTCTTTGATAAAGGGCCACTGTTTCTGTTTATGAAATGTTTAACATCAAGGAAGGAAAAATGAGAAGCAAATGCAATTTTACCTGATAAATATCAGATAGGCTGCTGCTCCCAGAATCGCTGGCAATGCTACATCCCGACTGGCTTGAAGGGACGTGAGCCACCTGAGGATGAGGATTGTCGGTAAGATGCATCTTGGTAAGATCAGCTGGCAGCTGTAAATAACATGGATTTGGGGAAGGACAGGAAAAAGAAAGGAAAACAAGATGTATAAGTCTGATCTGAAGACAAAGTTACTCATAAAACTTTTGTTACACATTTGAATATTCATCTCTAACTCGAAATACATTTTGAGAAAAAGCCAATTTAGACTAAGCTTGTCCAATCACACTGCAGATTTTATATGACTGATAGAAAACGATGCACCTTTCTATAAAACAAAGGTTTACCCTCTTTACAGCTGACTGATAAACACCAACAGGATTAAGAGCAAAATAGATGATGCCGGCCAAAGAGCCCACAGTTTTAAACATTAGCTTATGATGCAATCCAGTATGAAGCAGAATTCCTGTTTATAAATTCAATTCACACCTTAGTTCAAGAATAACCTTTAGAAAACACCAATACAGAACAAAAAGTAATGTAGTCTAAACTAAAGTTTTAGTCCACAAAATGCTTTGAATTTTCTTTAAGAAAATGAGTACCCAGAAAGAATATTACGTATTTTTGGTACATGTATGTACAGTATCACCTCTCTGTTATAAATTTAATCTGTAAATGAAGACACGTATACAGATATAGATACATAAATTTTAGTGCATCATTGAAGCCCACAAACATGTTCCTTCGACTGAAAAAAGTAAAAATCAATAGTAGGCTCCTGAAGAATCAGAGCCGCACAGAATACTATAAAATAACCGGTCCTTTAATTCAGCTGCTTATTTATTTTCTGCCACACATATTTCTAGTATTTTTTACATTTACGCTCAACTACAGGGAAAGAACATTGTATCAGAGAATCATAGAATCATCGACTCTATAATAAAATGATAAAATTTATATACTTCTACCATTTATAAATTATACTATTCCTTTAAAAAAAATGTTCCGATGCTGGAAAGAAGTCCAAAACTACTCTGACAGCATCAAGTATCATGATCAAAATGAGAAGGTTTCTTCTGTAACACAAAATTCCACACAGTCATGTCAGCCACTAGATATTCAGTCCTACGGATTGAGAGACAGCATTGTAGAAATGCTGTTGATCCAGTATCAACTTCATAAATACTGACTAAATTCAAGAGAAAGGGTAACTAGGTCTTCATTTGGAATCATGTTTTTATGTCCATTTTTTTTGAAGAGCACACAAAAGAAGCATTTTAGCAAATACTAGTTCACATATTTTCTGAAACCTAAGTGGCACCATAGGTCTCTCCAAACTCTTCCCACCTTCAGAAAAAAGTGTTGAGAGCACCTCTGACACATGTAACGTAATTTTGAATATCAAAACTGTTATGAGGAACATGAGGGATGTTGTGTCATGTGTAATGCCCAATGACATTCTCGTTGGCAAGCGCTACTCAAACCCGACCGTCCTATGGGCTCTAAAAACCAGCAGAGATCATTACTTGTAAAGTAACTCTGGGAATGAAAGACTACAAAACTATTTTTCACTATCCTAATATTCACATTATTCTAGTTTTGTATATATTTTACTTACAAAAAGAAAGTATAAAACATCCAACCTCTAAATTAGTATCTATGTTCACATGTATTTGGAAAAGGAGAAAGTTTGAAAAGCAAGAGATTGCTGAACTCTCACAAACTCCCATTAAAAAAAAACAACATCCAAGCAGTAGGTATAAAAGAGTGAACTTGATCCAAATACAAAGGAAACATAACACTTTGAAGCCTATGTTTAGCCACCAAAAAAAGTTTTAAAGGCTGCAAAATCTATTTTCAGGATTTGAGAACAGCAAAAAGGTCAAACCACTCAGCTGACAAAATTCAATCCAGTGGCCAAAAGGTACACTAGCTAGCTGTCAGCACATATGGTCAGAGCTGACGCACACCGAGATGTGACCTCAAACAACAACAACAACAAAGTATAAAAGTGAAGTAGGGAAGCTGAGATTTAATTCCGGTCCGGAGCACTACCTGGTAACTTTTTTAATCCAAATGACTACGTCTTCAGTACACGTTTTTGTGCCACGTACAGAAAAGCACTATCCATGTACTGCTTCTAACGGACACAAGGCAGAAAGTGTTACGTTATCTTCCCTAAAGCCTACGGAGATTTGCACATTCGTTAAGCCACCAATATTTCAACGATGACGACCACGGTGCTGATGGAGGTTGTTTCCCTGGCTTTCCCCGTCTGCTGCCTCCGTTACAGCGTCCAGCGGCAGCGAGCAGGAGCCGGGGCGGCCGGAGCAGCCTTGCCGCAGGGTGACACCGCTCCTCTACTCCCGGGAGCTTCACACGTCAGCCGGCTCCTCTGCAAACACACCGCAATGCTATCGTCCAGGCGAAAAGACAGAGAGGCACGTACGAGCAAGGTCAGTGCATCGTTTGCCAGGGAGGACGACATCCAGCAGCAACTCAGTACTTGCTAGCAAATTACCAGGTAGGGCTGCTGGCAGTCACTGATACGCCGGAGGTCAGTGTAACTGAAAAATCCAGGAGTTTTTGTAAATTACAGAACAAATCAACCCATATAGATTCATTACCTCTAGCTTAACAAGACCACAGTTTTGCTGCAAACTCCTCAGCCTGTCCCCATCTTTATAACCTCCCTATTCCAACAACCGGCTCCGAGTTCAGCTTCAATGCTTCCATCAGATTTATTTCCATCCATGAGCCAGTCCCACACTGACTGTGATAATACAAACACAGGGAAATCCAATTTAAGCTCCCTGCTATCCAGATTCATAATGATTTTCAAACTTTCAAAACAGCTCCGAGAAAACAACGAGCAGGACCCAAGAGTAGAAGCAATTCTGTGGGATTTCCCAGGAGAAGAAGGGCAGGTGCCTGCTCTCTACCAAAAACTGGTGCTACTGAAGCCCATTCTGGCTCAAGAACATCACAACACACACACACAGACACTCACTGCCATATACAGTTTGTCTTCTCTAATTCAGTTTAGATGTTAAGATTCTTGTAATGAATGCAGTTTTGTATACCTAGGTTGAGAAGTACTGCTGGAACAAGATGTGGCTCTCAAAATAAAAGAGTTGTGTATGTACTTTGTATGCCATTTACACAAATACACACTGAAGACCGACTCAAAACACCACCAGCCTTCCCAAAGGAGTATTTCTAATCAACTCATTAATCACTTACAACCGATCCTCATTCCCCCTGCCGTACTCCCATTCATTTCCATCACCTATAAAGCACACGGGCATGTACGATGCTTCTGCTAGACTCTGCAATATATTCTTGTAAAAGACATTTAGCGCAGGTTAGATGCAAGGAAACATTGCAATATCTCTTTAAATTTGAGAGAGAGATAAGGTTTATTTGAGACAAGTGACCTTTAAAGTGCTGCTTGCCACTCTACTCAATCTCCCAAAATAAATCACAGCTTCTGTCTTTTGTATGTCGTTTTTATTACCCAAACTGATTGTTCTTTCTTTCAGAGCTCACTAAGCAGCAATACATGGATAGGATGTTTCTGTAACAACATGACAGCGGATGGGGAAAGGACTTGCTGGAAGTGGTAGTGAAATTGCTGCAAGTGACATAAAATTGTCTTAACTATTAGGGAATAATGTTCACTTATTATTCAACTATGATTTTTTTTTGGTGGGAGAAACTTAGAAACCGTGGCTACAATTGCATCCACATCTTGAAAAATTACGTGTTGGGAAACAAGTTGAAAATAGCAACGTTCACCTATGTCCACGTTAGAGGCTTTCAGGAGCAGACGTATACACCTGCACTATCTTTCTGGCTAGCGGTGTGCCCCAGTAGCTGAACGTCCTTGAAATTGTGATAAAAACCACAGAAATAGACTACTTACTTGCCCCTTTGAACCATAACTGTTTCATTTTTTCCCAAGAAGGGATAATCTGGAATTCGAATATGAGTGCGTCCGACATGCTGGCACAGCCAGTCCCTCCACTGGTGCCAGCACATCCTTGTGACTGACCTTTCCCAACAAAGGGACATTGAGCACCAAACCCCCCGCTGAAATGCCATACTGCGGTTCTGAGCTGTACGTGAAAGGAAGTTAAGAAAATAGAAGTTCTGGTCTGTGCAGCCACCTACAGCTCTGCCCTCCCACTGAGTCAGGAAAATACACTTGGCGATTACACTGAAAAAACCTGAATCAACAAGGGAACTTCTAAAGAGATGCTGCAAATTGCAATAGGAGAAAAGGAAAGAAAAAAAACCACTAAAAACCCTTTGGAAGCTCATCTTAAAGACAGTGTCAGTCTGCCTTGCCACACAAACCCAGAAGCGACAGCAGCCTGGACTGCTTTTTGTCAAAGGTACATGAGATTTCTGAAGGCAGTACACAGGGTCCAGTCTGTCCTGCTCCCCAGGACGCAGCCCAGGTTGGCTCACAAAGCGGCAACGCTGGGGAGAGGGGCGATGAGGGAGGACAATAAGAGCGTAAAAGCCAGTTCTGAGTCACAGTTAATAAAAATGACATGCACAAAATACTAAACTCTACCCATAGCAACCTTGAAAACACTCACGAGGTCCACCAGGAGCTGGGCTTTTGCTATCCATTTCATGGGTGCAGCCACCCAGCACCAAAGCAAGGGGCAGCAGCACTCCTGCTGCTAAACCAGACAAATCCCCAAAGCCTCTACAAGCCCCAAACCCATCCTTTCTCCTATTACACAATACAATGCAGAAACTCTTACATTGGAAAAAAAAAATCCACGAAGATTGGTATACATAAGTGCTTTTTGTGCTTATCCGGAGAGAAGGAACGTTCAAGTCTTGCACATGTTGTAGGAGACAAATTGCACCGAGAGACTGATTTATAGGTTTGAAGGGAAAGGCTGATCTGGAGCGGCAGATCTGGGAGCTACACTGCTGCTCCAAATGGCTGCACGAAGCAGACGGACATAAAAACACAGCAATGGGACACTGTAAAAGCAATGAAGCATGGAAGAAAAGAATCTCTGCTCATACCTGTCCTTGGGCATCCTTGGGAAGAGTGTGGAGAAACCAGTGGATGCCAGGGGACATGGAT